AAAGAATAAATTCTTACCCATAAGATAATGCGTAAAACCTTGCCGAGTACTTCTGTAAACCAAAACAACACCCTGTGGATCGACATGCGTTGTATACATAGATGGACTCTTCATTTTTGGGTACGTGAATCTCATTTGCATGTGAATATTGTCTACACTTTGTAAAAAATCACAAAAATATCGACCAGTTGCTTTTATAGTACAATCATACCTAAAAAGTAAACTATGTATTATGTGCAAATTTTATTAATTTTTTTTATAAGCATAAATATAATATTTTTAAAAATATACAATATGTATACATAAGCAATTTTAATTGAATTAATTTATTATGTTGACATGTGTGTAAACTTTACGCACATTTCTTAAAGTTTGTGAAATCTAAAGGGAAGATTTTGCATCTTATATATGTAGTTTCTATTGCTTCATCTTTCGATGATCGATAATCGTAAATTACAATTATAATTAAAAGGAGAAAGCATTCGAAATTTGGAAATAGGATTAAAAATAATAAAAATCTATAAAGAAGTCATAGTAAAAAAAAATCTAATAATAGACTAAAAGTCCAAGAGATGTAATACTACTTAATTTTATTTGTTTCTAAAAGAAACAAACAAAATCAAGTAGCATTACATATAATGACAAACATAATAAATATAAATAATAAATAAGAGATCATATCAACTATTAAACGAAAAAGCGCAATATATTATAAAAATGTAACTCTTTTTTCATTACGTCATAAAGTAAGCTCCAAAAACTCAAAGATATAAGAATCATTAATAACAAATTCATCGGTTCAAGACGAAAATCCTGTTAAGTTCGAAAGTGCGAAGTAAAAAGATAATATGATGATTTAGACAAAAAGAGATGGAAATAAAATTAGAATTGGAATTGTTTTTATAATTATTATCTGTGTATACGTGAAGTGATGATTATGCAGTGTTCTATATAATTAATTATATTTTAAAAATTACACATAGAATTGTCAACATGTTTTAAAATTAGATTTGTGTATATTTTTTAAATACATTACTTACCCTAAATTACTAAAAAATCTAACAAAACACTTTCCAAAAAATTGCATAATGTTATCCATAGAATCACCAGTATATGCGGCAAGAGCCATTGCCAAATTAGTCATCAGCATATCTGGATATATTTGTCTTGTATTAAAAACTATATGTTTGCAATCAGCTTTCTCTAAAATTCGAAGCCATACTTCTTCACCAAATTCTAACTGTAAAAAATATTTTTAGTATTTATGTATTTAAATATTGTATTTAAATATCTATTTAAATATTTCATATTTTTATATTTAATACTTCTCAATTTTTTATTTAGTATGTTAATTTTATATTTAATATTTTATCTTTTAATTTATATAATGTAGATATCTGAAGTGAATAAAGTTGGTACAACAAAAAAGCTATAATAAAAGCTATAATATATTACAATAATAAGTTGTAATTCTCCTCTCTCTAAATTATGGCTTAATTAAAGCAGTTAAAATTCAAAATGTAGAACAAATAACTCATATAAGCGAAACGTAGAGTATTATTTGATAAAGATAATATTTGCAATGATACCTTTGTTACGTCTAATAATAAATTCCACGAATCAATTATAAGTCGATTTAGATAATCAAACCAATTTCCCAATTTCCCTATGTTAATTAATCTTTCTTTTACTAGGATGAGATGTGGTCACGAAAATGAATATGTGATCTTTAATGAGGAAAGCTCTCAGGAGCTTTCTTCATTAGCTCTCATATCGCAAATGAACACGCAAATTTATAAATTGAAATGATCTAACAACTAAGAAACAACTAAGAAATAATTTAATATTTCAAAAGTATTTTTAATTTTACAAAAATATTAAAAAAAATTTTTTAAAAGTATAAATTGATTTAAAAAAATGGATTTATTAAAGATACATAAAAATAAATAAAATTATTAATGATTAATGGTACAGTACATTTAAAACATTATAATTAATAATCCCTATTTTTATCGTAAATTAAAATTTATAATATTGTCATTATTTATGCATTGTGCGTATAAAATAAAGATAATAAAAAAGAATAAAAATAAATAAAGAAATGTATCAATGTAACCTAAGTTATATTTAGTATAAAAAGAAAAAAACATAAATAGAAGTATCATTAAGAGATATTTACTTATTAAGAGAGAGATATATATAACTTATATAATTATAAGTGATTAAAAAAAAGATATAAAAAAAATAAGGAAGATATTATTAAAACAAATTAATAGAATCGGCCTTACATGTTGACAAAAAGGAGATTCTATTTTTAAAACTTTGTGCAATTAAAACATCGGAGATTAAAAGGAAATAGTTATAGGACCATTCATATTCAAGTACTTATTACATATCTACAAAGCATTTCCTTCGCAAGTACGTGGCATACGTTATAAGTACCTACGTAGATCAAAATTTTCAAAATAATTTTCAAGACAAAAATAAAACATATTAAGTTAATTAATTATCATGATAATATAATAATATTAATTTTAATTAACAATAACATAAAAAATAAATAAATTTTTACGAACATTATCATTCTTAAATCTTACTTTAAATCTCGTAAAGAATTAGACAGATTGATGAATGAGTTTAATTTTGATTCTGTTTGTCTTTACAAAAAGAATAACGAAAATTGCAAATATAGCTTAAAAATAAACGTATTCAACCTTAACTCTGCAATTAAATATCCGGTGAGTATATGTACAGTTCATTAAAATGGATGCTGACGAACGTGCAATTAATATAGATTTGTCGAATTTATTAGCACGTCAATACAAACGTTTTAATTACAATACAATTTGCACTTTATATTTATTTTTTCACCATTTTTTATGATAAAACTTTATAAAAATTTTAATAAGATATAAATAAACTAATATAATAAAAGAATATGTAATATTCTTATTTATAGAACTGCATTTATGTACTTGACAAATACAGTAAGAGCACTAAATTTTTTATTAAAAATGTAATTTTATTTTTATTGTATGAGATAGAAAATAATTTAAATTGACATTTGTTTTTAATTTATCAAATTTGTAACCGTTACATAAATTATCATAACTTTTTTTAATTATACATATAAGTATAATATATTTTTTCTAAAAATAAAATGTCTATCAAGGAAAAAAAGAATATGTTAGGAAACATGATAGGATTCATTAAAATCTGCGCAGCTATGAGATACGATATCCCTTGACGTAAAAAATCGATCGCATTTATTTAACGTAAAACGCGTGAAAAAGAAATTATTTTTAATGTTATTAATAAAAAGAGAAAAATAATCAAATAATTAAGTGAAAAAATTTGTGAGAAACAGTTTTAATATTTTTAAATTGCAGAAACTTTTGATCTTCATCAGCACAACATTCACAATCTCAAACTTCTTAAATTAAATATTTCCAAGAGCAACTACGCCACTATAATTTTATCAAACTTGCGATTCTCTATGTTATTCAGAATAAATAGAGCTAGAATTTTAAAATATAAAAAGAGCATAAAATAAGATTTCCGAACTTTTGCCAAATTTAATAAATCATTTTTTTAAATTTTTAAATGCAGTTTATAGTGAAATTTAATTAAAGATTTAATTAAAAATATTAAAGAAATGTTAAATTATTTTATGAAGAAAGCTTAATCAAAAAACAATTTTAATAATTAAGTAAATTAATAAAAAATGTGTGCTAATTTAGAACACTTATAAATTGTAAAATTATATTATTTATGATTTTATATAATACATAAATTTTTATTTAACAAAATTGAAGAAATTAAAAACATTATAAATAATGTTTTTTGATTTCTTTAAATTTCATTATAAACAACATATTTTAAATAATATGTAAGCGGTTTATAACATAAATGATTAAAGCACCAACGTTTTTCTTTCGCTTTAAAATGAGAGAGAGTTTTAAGTCGCTTAAAGTCAAAGTAACATTGATGCAACTGGGCCTTAATCATTAATTTTTTTCAAATAGTGATGTAGTAATATATAATAAAAATTAAAGAATTTTTTTAATAATAAGATAATTTTTAATTTTTGCCATTATTTACAAGGAAAAACAAATTTTAAGAAATTATGTAGAAAACTGCTTATCATAAAGAAAAACAAAGAAAAAATTAAATTTTAATTTAAACTCAATCGTTGTGCAAGTACATATGTCTCAAGCTAAGCTGTATATCCTATCCTTAGCTAAATATACAATATTAATTCTATGATTTGTTTGTGCTTTACCTGTACGAAATATTGCACACTTTCCAGCAGCATCCCGTACATCTTGACGAACACGAATTTCACTTTACTTAAGCGCTTATTAATTAAATTAAATAAAGGAAATATTCAAATTTATAAAATATTTTTCGCAATCTTACAACACTAGCAAACCAAAATCCTTCACATTAATCGCAACATTCAGAAGACAAGTGTTTCGCGCCGATTAGAATCACAACTATGGTACTGTGTTATTTGAATAATAGACTCCCTTCGATACAGTGAAGAGAAGGAAGTTGAAGGAATGATGTGCAATAGATCTTGTTCCGACTGTGGCTTGAGGGTTACTCAAGCTAACAAGAATGGATTGAAGAGACGTAACTACTCGATGCGTGTGCGCAGACTTTATAGCTGTTTTACGGAGGCGTTTAGCTTAAATGTTTCAAGAAATAAATTTTCACAATTTTATTTGATGTATGTAAAAGATTATTTACGTTTAATTTCTAGAGAGTGATTTATTAATTATATTTTGAATAATTAAAAGATTTTTTTCATTAATATTTACGTCTTAATATATTACAATAAATTTATTTCCAAAAGAGTACATATTGCTTAAGAATACAAGTGTTCTTAAAATTATTAAACACTTCAAAAAATATATAAATAATTTCTCCAATTGTGTTTTTATAATTAAATTATACAGAGTGTCATTAAATTACAGCACCACCGATCCTGAGCAGGTAGAGCGGACTGAATCGAAATATTCTCTATTATTTTGCGATTTTCGCAATGGTTAACGAGATATTAATTATTAAAAATTGCTAAATATTGGTTTTCAATAATTTTTTACTCAAATACTTGATTAATTTTACAGAAAAACAGCAAGAGATAAAAATGATTTATTTTCTTCTAAAGTTTTTCTTCTTATAAAATACGGTATTAAAAAATTCTGAAAAAATTCTGAAAATTTTTTCAAAATTTTTTCAGAATTTTTTAATACCGTATTTTCTCATGATGGTAAAAATAAGAAAATGCAATACTAAAAAGTTGATAGTATTTAAGTAAAAAATTATTAAAAATCAATATTTAACGGTTTTTAGTAATTAATATTTCGTTAACATTGCGAAATTCATAAAATGATAGAGAATTTTTCGACTCAGTTTAGTGCACTCTACCTGGTCAGGTGCCATATTTTAATGGTGGTGCCATATTTTAATGACACCCTGTATAAAGGGTAATTAGATATAAATACATTTGTCAATATATTCTCCATTAAAAAAAAACATATCAAGCGAGTATCTCGAAATTTACGTGATCTAGGTTTTTTAAATTAAATGTTAAATGTTAAAATTTCTCTCTCTAATCTAGGTTTTTTAAATTAAATGTTAAAATCTTCATTTAATAAAAATTGAAATTGAGCAAAAATAAATTAAAAAAAATAGAAATTTGTTTAAAAATGTATAACTTAACATTAAAAAACTAAATATTCATTATTTCAAAAAAATTTGAGAGTACACTAAATTTTACGTTTATTAAAAATGACCAAGATTGCAGACAGAGAGTTAAAATTAAATAAGCGGAGTGTTTGAGAAAGATTCTGAAAGATAATAGAACAAGAATTTATTCGTTCCCGCATATATATAAAAAAATGACAATATATACATTTTAAGAGATACATTTTAATGCCAATAAAAATCATATAAAACATCTAGGTATTTCAGAAAACGAAAATACGTAGATCAAATATTCATTTTCATTCGTGCATTAGATTTTTACTTCGTGAAAAGTCAACACAAAGTTGCGATTATATATCATAATTTTTACATCATCTCTTGATTCAATTGTAAGCCTTAATATTCTCAATTATTCGGCAAGAGTTCATCAATCATTCTTCAAGAAGCTCAATGGTAGACTTGTCGCTACATTTGTTTCAATTTATGTTATTCTGATTTCCATGTTTATCCGACAGAATCTGATAGGCGTGAGTGTGCTGCATGAATTCTTACCACGTGTTGGCAAAAGGAATGATACGCGGCCTACTCGCATACTCGCCGTCGTAACAGAGAGATACAAACACATTTACGCGTGCGTATACATATATGAACGTTTCTGTGTTGGTGAATGCGCCGTTAGTCGACAGTGGGAACGTAAACATGGCCGCAGAGAGTGGCGACGGTTTGCCAATATCCCCGTCCGAGAAATCGCTCACCGGTAGCCTCGCGTCCGACGAAAACGAAAAAAGTGTCTCACGTTCGCCGTCAAGTTATTCCATACGGGAGGACAAATGGCCCGATCTCGTCGTGTCCAGACCCAGAAAACTCGATGCCTGGTGGTTGCCGAGACGTGAGTACACAGCCCGATGGTTGCATGGTCCCATGATTCGGCGCGCTTTTTAAAAGTCCGGCGCTCGCGGGCTCAGCTTGGCGCCCGCGTGTTAAGCGCACGTAGATGTACTATGCGCCCACGTGTTTCGTCATTATTATTGTTTCTTTATTGACGATCATTCTGTCAGCTAAAGACGTTGTATAAACTCTATATAGATAACACATGTTTCAATAATTACGTAATTATGTCAGATATATATAACAATGAAGCTGCAAGCAACTGCACTTTTCTTATTGCATGAATTATAACATTTTCATTTTGTGTTATTAATTAAATTAAATTATAAATTTATATGTTAGAGACAAGAGACTTAGTTTTTAATATATCGTGTGGTATATATTTTGTATAATATGATTAAGAATTTAAATTATGACTTTAAATAACGCGCTCCAAACAATATTAAATTAACAACACTATATAAGTTTTTAAAGATAGACAAAAGGAGTAAATAAATAAAAAAATGATTTAAATAAAAAATTGATTTTTGTCTTGCTTCTAAACGTAAAGTTTTCGATTATTTTTGAATTTCTTATAATTATTATTTCTTGTTAAAAGATATAAACGCTATAAAAGCTTACAAAATACCAACTAACATCTATATGTTTTAAGAATTTCTATAACTATTTTAAATTATTTGTGCTTTTATTTGTCGTAACATGTAACACGCAAATTTTATCTCGTGTCTGTATTTTATATAATATTTTACAATTATACTATATTTTACAACAAATATTAACAAATAATATGAAATAAAATGATTGAAATATAACATGAAGCTCCGTGCGAGATCGACTTAATCAATCGGCGGATTCAACCCCGATCTTCATCTTATATGCTTCAATTTTATGTTAATTTGGAGCATTTGAAGAATGTGAGGAAAAATATAAGTAAAAATAGTAATCCATTTCGGGAATTTATATTTTACTTATTTTTTCTATATAAATTAAATTTTCTATATAAATTAAATTTTATATTAACGAGGACATACAAATTGATATAAACTATATAACTATATAATACTTACAATAAAAATCAATATTTATTTAATCAAATCTCTTTTAATTAAGTATTGATTTTCATTTTTATTTTTATTAACTTACAATTATCAAAATTTAAATCTTTCTTTATACATGAAAATATTTTTATATGTAACAAATTTAATCAAGTTTATTGAATTAATGTAAAGTAATTCGGGAAGATGCCATAAGGAGAAAGATGTCACTTTGTTTAGAATTTTTTTATTGAATATTGGTCATACTGATTATACAAAAACGTGTGATAATTGCGCAGTTATCAATAGAAACATGAACATAATAATTCATGCCAAAATCGATTCGTAAAAATTATACGAAATACGAAAAGATAGATCATGAAATATGCTCTTTGTAATATTTGTTAATAACTAAGAGCTGTATTTCGATGCTTAGTGTAAAATCGAGCAAATGATATATGGTTTAATTAGTGTTCTGGAGGTCATGTGGATAATATTCAAGGTGCGTCATCAAAATCCGGATAAATTTCAATTTAAATTTTCCGCTATATTGTGCCTCCGCCAGAGGTTGTTGTTGGCGTCCGAGAAAGCCTGATGCTTTTAGTAAACAGTCATTCTCAAGATGGCTGCGATGTTGAAACCAAATGCGGAGTATAATCGAAAATCCGTGATCATCGAAAGCCTTCGCATTGGGCACTCAGCAACGGAAATAATTCGATTCTTTGGATACTCGAGATCAATTGTTTATGACGTTGTGGCAAAATATGCTTTAAAACAGTCCAACGAAGATTCCAGTATGCCTGCGAGGAAGAGTCATTCGAAAGAACGCACCGCGAGGACCCCCGCAATCATTGAAAGGGCTCAAGTGCTGATTTCGAATGACTCCAGGGCAATCGTTGCGAAAATTAGCATCGATTGTTGATGTAAGGGAGCCAACAATGCGTCGAATTGCCGAGGAGGACACCTTCGATACAAATCATACACATTAAAGATATGACATGCTCTCTGCTGCCAGGACAAGCCGAGTTGTTTGCCTCGGTTCCTATTTCTGGCCTCCCAACGGCCCAGATTTAAATCCCTTGGACTACGTATGAAGCATAGTTGAAAAGATCACAAATAAGTCTCGGCATCCCAATGTGACGTCATTAAGAACTGTTATTGAAACAGCATTCATCGTCATGGACACCGCTACATTACGGCGTGCGTGCGAACGCTTCAGATCGAGAATAGAGCTAATCATCGTCATTCAAGCTAATGGAGAATATTGAATTGTGCTCTATAGGGATTCCCTAAGTGCATGTAAAAGGATTTTTTGTAATATTTAATTTTTCATTAAAAACATTTTGTTTAAAAAAATTGTTCGATTTGTCCGGATTTTGATAATGCATCCTGTAGATAATTTGTAATATTCTTATATGCGTAAAAGTTGCAAGTGAATATTCCTCTTATACTTGGGGATAAGATGATAATAAATACAAAACCCACAAAAAATGCTGTTTAAATGAACAAAAATATGTCCAACTTATTTCCTACATTACTCTCTTTCATATTTCATCAATTTATGTTTTATCATACCTTTATGTTCTTACAGTTTAAAACCCTTGATTATGGACTAAATAAATAAAATATGCAAGTTTACATTGCATTACATTATTTAATTGTTTGTGATATTTTTTTCCATAGGAGACGT